ATTTTTCCAGAAAATGTCGTCTTGGTATCAGAAATCGCTTACGAAGTTCAGCTCTCAAATTTTCAATTTAGCTGCTTTTTGCACCTCCATGACCAGATTTCATGGAGGGGCATTTTGGACATTTTATATTGTATTTTTTTTTTAATTATATCTTTATTCACGTAGAAAACTCAATTTTGAAGGGGGTTTCTTCTTTGTGTTTTTCCAGAAAATGTCATCTAGGGCTTCAAAATCCTTTTTTTTTTTTTTTTTTTTTTTTTTTTTTTTTTTTTTTTTTTTTTTTTTTTTTTTCGAAAAACCCCCTGCTGCTAGGGTTTCTTGCTGCCCATTCTGCCTCCTTTACATCTAAACGGTTAGATGGGTTTCGTAACTAGTTAGATTAGTGTGGGCAGTGTTTTGATCGAGTTTTTTGGCCTTCTAACCGGTTAGATAGGTCATTTAACCAGTTAGATGTTCTAGGGTTGACTATTTTGACTATTTTACCCCCGTTTCTTCCATTGACCATGCCTTCTTCGTCCGGACTCCGAATCATGCGATTCTTGAGTCCATCTTGCTTGATTTTTTGTTGTCTTTCCAATGATGTGCTTGGTGGCACCCACTTTTAAGCTGGAAATGACATTTTTTCCCCTAGGTTCATTCTTGTTCAATTTTGAAACGTTGCTTCCGCATTTGTTTCCTTTGGGTTCCGTAACCTCGTTGAGGGTCACATTGGTGTCTTAGAGTCATGTTGTATCTCTAGAGACCATTGTTTGTCTTTTGCTTTTGCATTTTGGATCCGTTATCTGATCATCTTTCGGTTCATAACTGACGCACCGGATTGAAAAACTTGTGCCGTCACAAGTGGTATCAGAGCATCCGGGTTCGAATACCTTGGACGACGGGTTTGGGGTGCATATCATGCATGTGTTGCCATGCTTTACGTGTTTAAATGCTTCTTGATAACATGCCTTGTTTGATAACATGTTTTGTTTGATAACATGTTTAGTTGATAATATGTCTTATATGGTAACATGTTCACATGCTTAGGTGTTATGAGACGCCTATTATTATTTGTTAAGCATGTTTTATGTGTATATATGCTTCTTAATAACATGGTCTGTGTAGCTATCATGTCTGTGTTTATATCATGTCTATGTGCTTGTGTTAGCATGACCGTATGTCACGCACACCTTATGCTTTCCATTCACGTGTATTGTTATATCATGTACTTACGTGCTTTTTGATAACATATTTTGAGTTGACAACATGTCTGTTTGCTTATATTGCACCTTGAGTAGATAGTCCAATGCTATGTTGCATGCTAGCTGTTTACTTTTATGTCTGGTTTTGACAGTGTCTCTTAGGATCTGTCGTATCCCTTGGATGCCTTCTTGTTTCACAAGTTTCTTCCTTGGATAGGAGAAATTCATTCCGTAAGGTCCCATGTAGGGAACCTTCTTGTCTATTCTGTCAATCGATGCGAGTAAGGCTCATGTGAGTGTAGAATCGCAGTTCTTGTCTGGTGGAGTGAGACGCGGGCCAGGGAGGCACCGTTTCACTTCCTTTTCCCTTGTGGCTTCTAGATCTAAGGCATTATATTTCTAATATCACAGAAAACTCACAATGCAGGTGAATAAGGCTACGTCGGTCGCCACTTCCTTCTCATGACCTGAAAATATATTAATATAATTGGGTGAGCCAACCGCTCAGTAGGAGGTGTCTAAGACACACCTCTTAATGACTCCGTGAATCCACACAAAGCATAGGGTAAAAGTAAACGAGATTATGCCTCAGGAAATAAGCAAAGCAATAACAACTACAATAAGAATGTATACAAGTCATCTGACCACCAAATATGGAACATATGCCAATGAAGTGCAATGTCATGCAATGTCGCTCTCTGTTTCAGAAATAGTACCGTTTCACCTTCTCAAACCGTTAGTGCAATTCGACCCATGACAACTCCATGGCGTCAAGGGAGTATGATTGGCCAATTATCCCCGACCACATGGCAACTCCAAGGCGTCGTTAAAGGGCCTAGGTAGCTCAACCACGCTAGGGTCTCTCCCTAGTCCCCTCTAAACCACACTAACGCCACAGACCACTAGGCAACTCTTAGGCACCCGGGTTTTCGCAAACACTTTTCGAAACATTTTCCCTCAAATAATTTCTATTTGCTTTTCAAAACATTTTCCCTTTTCTTTCCCAATGGAATGCATGAATGCTTCATGCTTCCCAAATTACCAAAATCTCATGCAATTCAACCTTAACAATATTACATGCCAATTAAAAAATATTCTCGCAAAATTATAGCATGCTTATTATTCCCAAATTTTCAGCAATTAATCACTTAGGACAAGAACAAAATCATAGCATGCTTATCATCTCAAATCAACAAATCATATACACACATATCACTTAAACATGAAACTCACATGGAAATAAAATCCATATATATAACATCATAGAAATTTTTCAAGAAATAATCACAATTAAACATAAAATACATCAAATATAGGGGAATGAATCACAAAAATCAAAGAGTGTATAGATTAGAGCACCCGTTCCTTAATCAGAAAAAAAGCCCCAAAATTCAAAATTTCAAAAGTGCTCCAAACAAGAAATTGCTCAGATCAAAACGAAGGTCTCGATGCTCTTGTCAACTTTGCCTTAAATGGCAAGATCAAATTTTCAATAGTAAACTCAAGATTTGAGCTTGAAATTTGATGAGAAAAGAAAAAAATAATAAGAAAAGAAAGAAATAGAGAAAGAGATGCTGGCGAGAGAGAGAGAGAGAAGGAGAATTGGGTCTGTAATGACCCCATGGGTCATTATAAGGAATGACTCAATGGCAAGTCCCACAAAGTTTATAAAAATTTCTCCTTTTACAACATTATATATATGTATATATAATAATCATTTTACCACCACACAAATAATCACACAATCAGGTAAATATGCACAAAATAATGATGTGTGAAATGCAATAAACCCAAAACACAGTCCCCGTGCTCAACAATCCTAGTAGCCGGTCCCACCTGGGACCTCTCGGCCCGAAAAATAGAAAAATGTTGACATGGCAACTAATGCATTTCCAAGAGTCCTGAACTGCTCCAACCAACCCTGGAAACACACTCGGCACACCCCACGGCGTCCAGCACGCAAAACAAGACAGATTAAAATAATCTAGAAAAATATAAAATAAAAATTTCTAGAAAATGGAAAAAATCGGAAACATTACAATATTTCTAAAAATGGAAAATTATTTCTAGAAAAGGGACCTCTAATTTGTGGGAATGTGTGTCCTATTTATAGGGCAAAGGGGACCAAATGTCATTTTTTCAAGGACTCAAAAATAATTTTCAGAGGACCAAAGATGCAATTTCCTTGGACTTGTTTGCAATTTTCAAAAGAGTATAAGATCATCCAAAGATGGAAAGGGAAAGTAAGAAAAGATGGGACAAGTGGAGGGAGGAGATGAAGAGTTGAAAAGCAAGGTTTAGGCGTGTGAATTCACACGTCTAAAGTGCTTGCTTTATCAACTTTTCATCTTTCTCTCTCCTCGGTAATTCCCTTTTTTGCCCCCATTTTTTTTTTTTTTTGCTTCAAAAATTGCATTTTCATGCTATTTTCGAATTTATGATCATTTTTTGGGAATTTTGACCTCACACAACTGATGTGGCATATTTTCTCCTTTTGCAATTGTTGGAAATTCCTGCACAATGCAGATTTATCTGTTTTGCCCCTGAGAATGGAAATTAGGTCAAAGTGGCCCCAGATCGAAACATGGCCAATATTATAATAGTTTCTAGAGTCTTTTTTGGACCCTCTGAATCCAATGGTATTGTCCATTTGACTTGTCAAAGGAAAAGTCAAACCTTGGAATTGACCGATTAGTCCTTGCCGTAAAGATTTGATCAAAGGTGAGCTAGGTTAGAAGGTAGGCAATAATACAATACGTTTTAGGGTTTTTGGACCTTCTAAGCACAATAGTAAAGTCCGTGGGTGAGTTTGACCATCACTCTAAAAAATCAAACTTGAAAGGGTTTTGGTCCAAGTGGGTGATAGAGAATGGTGGAGACCTCGAGGAGAGGTGTACCTTAAGGTTTTTGGGTGTTCTGGACTCAATAATGAAGTCTGTTGTCATTCTGACAATCGGATCATAGGTCTATAGTGCAAAATCTCAATTTTATCCTTTTCAAGGAATTGGTAATCATGTGTCGTGAAGAGTGTGATGTGATCGATCGAATCGTTTTGTGTCATTATGTGATGCCATTAGTGTGACAGTGAAGTCCAATATCCAATCGGACGGTCGAGTTGTTTTCAATTTTCTATCGTAGGGGGGCCCAGCCGAAAAAATGATCTCGGGAGATGAAAATATCGTTCCTTCTCAAGGTTTGAAAGGTTGGTGTGTTGAAAGGGTGTGTCTACAATATGCTTGTATTTATGAAATGCTTCTCTTGCTAAGCTTTTTCATACATGACATTTATCTACGACCATTAATTCGAGGGATAGGCAATGGTTAATCAATGGCTTTTGGGAGTTCATCTATCTATCATTGGCCAAACTGACCAAGCTTCAGTGGATTCCACTCTTCTTTCTGCAGACTTAATTTTATTCAAATAGCTATTGTAGATTGCCACTAATTCTCATATGCATGGAGTTATCTACCTATTGTAGCTATTCAATCACTTCTTGTAATAAAACCTAAAGATTGAAAGGAGTTGTCTAATACTGCTTTCTTCTGTCTAGAATAAGTGTATAAATCATACGCTACATACACTCCCAAACCTAAGTTCACGTTGCTTGTGTGGAGAACCATTTTCTATGAGATAGCATGTCCAAAATATACCATCATACAAACAATAACTCAGTAGCAGTTTATTTTGCGTTTGGAAGCACCGAATCGGTGCCTTGGTGCTTCCAAACATAGCATTAAATTTAAATAACTGGAAGCAAAACCAAAAAACAAATGCTCTGAGCTGCTCATGTGCAGAGACACAAATGGGTAATCAACCAGCTGCAACCCCGAACAACTTACCTTTATTATACAGAATAAGCACAGCAAAAAATGATGCTTCATATAAATTCCTCCACTAAAAATGAACTTTTCACTGAATTTTATATTATAATTCCCTTAGAGCCACTGATTTTTTTTTTTCGTTGGTAAAAACCACATGTAGAGAGCCATGAATTTCCATCTTCAAGAGCAACTAAGGAGCAATGACAGCTAAAAAGATACAGCTACTGAATCAAAAAGCTACATGATAACCTTCTACTCATTGAAATCCTTCAACATGATGGATACTTCAGTCCCCATATTACCTTGTTCCCATCTAAAAGATGCAAAGCAAAACTCAAATCCATTCATAGGAAGATGGCACATCATGCAATGGGTGACCTTTTTTATTTCTTTCGATTATCCTCCGTGCAAGAGAAACTTGCTTACCAACAACAAAAACAAATGCCTTTCCCTTTCCTCCGGCACCTCTGGCAGTTCTTCCAACACGGCGTACGTATTCACTTGGATCACGAGGAAAGTCAAACAGTACAACATGATCCACGCCTCTGAAATCAATTCCCCGGGATGCCCTGCAAAAGATATTCAGAAGCATCAAGTTGCTATTTTCATTTCTTGAGAGGAAAGGAAAATAATCAGACCAAAACTAGGGGGAAAAAATAATAATCACAGCAATCTCTAAAGCACGCATAGCCCAGTACAATTAATATTAAAAGTAGCAATGAAAATATAATGAAAAGAAAAGGCAAAAGAACCATGGTACCTATCAGTGCACACCAGAAACAAGGAGCTGTCCCTCCGCTTAGAACTGTGGAATTCCTCAATATTTGCAATCCGTGATTCTTGTGCCACAGCAGCATGGAATGGTAAAATTCTCATATGAAGACCTTTTCTATCAAACCTTTTCAATGCATTTTCAACTTTTCTGCAAGTCTCAATCTGCAAATGGCATATGCCAAAAGGCCCAAAACTAAGAACAATAAGTTTTATCATAAGCATAGAAGAAATGATAAGATGTGATCTAGATATACTATAATAAAACTTACCTTGTTACAGAAAACAATTGTTTTGGCGACAGCACTTTCCTCCAGGAGCTGCAGAAGAGCGGACTTCTTGTTGAGAAATGCTGTATCAGGAGTTCTTTCTGTTCCATCATCTCCGCTGCAATCTACAAGAATCTGGACATGCAGCCTGATTATTAATTTCAACTGAAAAAGAAGAAAAAAGAATAATCTTGAACAATTCTAAGAGTTTAAATATGTCAAAGGTTAGCAAGTAGTGCAGCAGTGGACTGCTTCAATCCACCCCACTTCAACACATAACTCATTCACAGCTCTAAATGTTTAATAGCAGTAGATTCTCTTTATCGCAAGCTAAAACCGAGGACAAGTGCTTTTGGAGCATCTGCAACAGAAAATTTCGGTAAGAAGAACCTGTGCAGTGTTGTGGGAGAAGTTCACACATTGACATATGGGGTCATGATGCCTTTGAACTGAGACACAGGGTTGGGAAGCCACTGGATTAGCCAAATGTTGGAAACACTATTTGGGTTGCATAGAATTACCCGTAATGTCAAGTAACTTAGTCATCTGACCATCTAAAGTGGGAGCAGCACAGCTGTTTTGCCATGAAATCACAAAATGGAGAATAGACAGAGGAAACAAGGGATCACCAGAGCATAGTTTCTAGCTAGTCTAGTGATTAGAAAGTGAAAAAATAGAAATATTCTCCCACAATTTTGGTTCTACAAAAAAACCTGCTTTTTTCAACTAAAAACATGGTTCCAACATCTTCATTGTTTTCTCTATTCTAATAAGCATATACGAATTAAGTCAATATACCATATTATTCATCTGGACATGTCCATGGAAATTGAAGTGGGCGTCAGTACATTCTTTTAAAACAAGCTCTCTGTGCATGAATCTGTACAAATTTGGAAGTTAAATCCACTTTTTAAATCAGTGCAAGTACTTTCAACTAACCACGGACACTTTTATGAGGTGCCGTGTCTGACACGGACACTGACACTCCATAGACACTCCTAGACATGTGTCCAACCTTTCATGGCCGTGTCTATTATGTAAAAATAAATTTTATTATTTGACATTTGGTCAACACATTCCGGGCACTCAATCAACACATCCTACACTATTTGCCTTATATAAAACAAACACACGACAGTCCTGAAAAACAACATTATAAACATTCATCAAAGTGTTCAACCACTAAGGAACAAAACATAACTATAATGACAAGACATGATAATAATATTACATGTAGTATAAAATATTCTTTTTTATATTCTAATAGTGTCATCCTCTAACTTACGCAACTTTAGTATAAAATTTATAAATTAATTAAAGTTATATAATGGTCTCATTCAATAGATATATAAATGAAAATCTATATTTATATTAGCCGTGTCCACACCATGTCCATTTCCTACTTTTTTTTAGAATTTGATGTGTCAAAGTATCCGTTTTATATCGTGTCCGTGTCCGTGTCCTATGTTCATATCCGTGCTTCTTAAACTTTCAAAGACAAAAATATACAACTGAGAACCTAAAGCTTTAAAGAGTTTATTCATGATTTTCTTATGCTGTCCTGTCTATTAACTACTTACAAGTCCTGAAAATGATTTGACTGATGTCATTGTTTATGGCAGAGATTGTGCTGCCCAACTCGATTATAAGGGAGGTTCAGGGATGAAGATGCCGGCAAAAACTGATGGAGCATTGAAATATCTGACTGGTTCTAAATAAAGTACTCTTATTTCTCCACTAATAATGCTGAAATTGCCCATGAGTCATAGACTTAGTTAAAATAAATTTGTCGACATGGATCAATGTCACAGTACCAAGTTCAAATATTAGCAATTAAGCGTGAACCCTCATCTTGCCGCAAGTTTAAAAGAAAATGATTTCATGAGACCTTAAAGAAGGCCTCTGTACAACCTGATAATTTAACAGAACAACAAAATCATGATAATCCATGTTCTCAATGCAAAAGCAGCACAAATTGCTAAAAAATGACTTGACATCACGGTGAAAAAAACATACCTCCTCAAGGCCTGAGCTTGTACGGTGCACACCAGGTCCCATGATTACTTCACAATCAGGAAAACCTTCAACTAGCTTGTTGTATATGTCTACAGGTAAAGTTGCAGTCACAAAAAGATATTGTGTGGTAACAGGCGAAGAGTTCATTAAACATTGTAATGCTGGCTCAAATTCATCATCATTGAAGAGTATATCAACTTCATCCAAAATAGCACTGAAACGCAAGGTTTTAAATACATTAGCAAAAACAAAAACCTCGAAAAAGTCATCTAGCTTCAGAAAAAAATGATGTGCTGTCTTTGTGCTCGACTGTGCATGCAGCCAAGATCTATATGTGTATATTTATATATATATATAGAGAGAGAGAGGTTGAGATCGTCATCCAGTTGGACACGAGTCACAACTTGAGCTTTCTACAACCAAAATGTGATTTTAAGAATAACAGTGATCCAAAAGCTTAATGCAAATGATGCAGGCAGAATTTGCATCAGCAATATAGAGAATTAATTTTCTATACCACGTGGTTAGAATCATTGGTTCAATTCAACCTCATAAATCTGCCTGAGAAAAAACAAACTACTGGCAACACCAAGGGCTGTAGGCCAGTGGTACTTCCCCACCATCCAAATCAAGGTTTCAAGACCCTAAAGGGACAATGTGGGTGTTTGAGTTCTTGCCAGAATATAAAAAAATAAAAAAAATTGTGGCGACCACAGCATAAATAAAGATAGATGTTCTTCTAGATATTTTATTCTTTGATCATGTATGCAGTAGTCAAGTTGTTGTGCCACTTACAGTACCTCTAAATTGAGATTCCTCAAGAGATTGTCAAACGTCTCCTTTCATTATCTTCCAACAATCCTAATAGATCACCAGAATGGAACCACCTGACAATAGCTTTATCCCTACAGAAGTAAAAATGGCATTTCTAATTTCCTCCTACTAAAAACATCTCTCTTCATAAAGACAGTCTCCAACAAGTATAAATAAAAATAAAAAATTTTAAAATCTCAACAGCTAGCCACTATCCACTAAAATTCTCTGGCCTACTACCAAATTCTTAATTAAAATCTTCGTCCTTCCCTAGGCTACTCTTATAACAACTCAAAACTACAATCACCCTCTTTAATCAGTACAACACTCAATGTCTGACTCCAACTTCCATCCTATCTAAAAAGTTTTTTCAGTAAAATAAGTTCTAAGCTCATCTGAAAGTAGATCCAATTGTTCAGGATGATGAATAATCCTGATGTCCTTAAACCCTTTAAATGAACTTCCCTCAAGCCCCAAAGGAAGCACTCATTCACATTTTGATGCTGAATGAATTTAACTGTTAAATGAATTTGTGATCTTCCAACACCTCTCCTTTAAAAATATTCCAAATTTAACTTCCTTAAGAATTTGTAATCCTTTCATGCGTCTTCTCAAACAACCTTCCATCAAACCACAAAATCAAATCAAAGGAGTTATCAAAAAGCTACATAATCTCAAAGTGAAAAGCAATAGACCAGTAACTCAAATGATACAGATATAAGCCGATACAACAAATTATGAAAACATAGGGCATAAATACGGTAGGAAGGACACTACCATGTGTGCGTATGTATTATACTTGAATACTTATCAATATATATATATATATATATATATATATATATATATATATATATATATATTATTATTAAAATGTGTGTGTGCATATTTTCACATCTGTATGCGATGACGCATAATTCATAAATGTAGATTATTTCATACAAATCATTTCTTGTTGAATTTATCAATTGAACAAAGCTTTAATCTTGTAATAATGAAATTTCACAGGAGAAACAAAGGGTCATGTTGCATAAGCATGGACCTGAGACTGAACTCATTACTGTTTTACTATCATTGTATTTCAATTCTTCTTCTTCAAGAGATAGCCAAAGTATTTGAAATTATTGTTACTATTGAAGATTTAATGGAGCAATCATATTTAATGGAGGAATCAGTGAAGGAAAATCTTCAATAGTTACTAATCTCCCAACAATTATACTCTAATGCAATACCAAAATTGCTAGATCTCAACTTTTGAAACTTGTTGCACATGCTTCACGGAGTACTTGAGAAGTGCCATATACATGTTCACACCAAATAATAATAATAAAGCGAAAACCAAGTGCACGAGGCTCCAGCCATTGCAGGGTCTGGGGAAGGTTAGACTCTCTGAGGTATAGAGTTGAAACCCGCACATAGAACTTGAGCAATAAATTAACTCTGACACCTCTGTCTGAGTAAATAGGAAAAACGACCCATAACATCTTATGTTCATTTACCAATTTACCATTCATTTATTATTTACTATAACCATGATAAAAAGGAAAAATAAAATCTAAAAGCATCAGTATGATAGAACCAAAATGCCCCATTCTACCTTCTTTGTCCCTCCTTCTTATCTATTCCCTAGACTTCCTCTCTATCTCTCTCTCTCTCTTTGGGTTCTCTCCCTTCACTATCTCCTCTCCCTCTATTAGACCTCGTTGAGAGCCACCACCAACATCTCTCTCTCTCTCTCTCTCTCTCTCAAACACGTGCACACACATTTTGTCATGAATTTTATGAAGCCAATTTAACAATTTTTTATTGTTAGGTCAACAAGAATTAGGTTGGCTAATTTTTTAACAAAACTTGGAGCATGTATTGTTTAATTAAGATTTTATGTAGAATTTTCAAAAGTTAGATTAGTTGTGTCACCTTAGTCCAAGGGAAAAAGCAAAATTCGAAGCTACATCAAAGGGTGAAAAGGTAATTGCAACTCTCTATGCCACTCATCAAAATAGTAGGGTTTGTGTTCAGTGCATTCACATAGTTAGGCATTTAGAATACATGTTTGATATATTAAAATCTATTTTAGAATGCTTATAAAGTGTTTTTGAAAGTTTCTTTCCTAAATTTCCTAGTCCAAGCTGAATAAGGCTCTTTGACCGATCGAGGAATCCATCAAAGGCCACCGGACATGTTTTGTTCCAAATAATTTGAAACACTGCAAACCTAATCTCTTTTAGCCTCTTAACTCGATATAGAAACCATAGGTTCAAAAACTTATGCAAGCAATATTAAACTATTCCATAGCATACATAGAACAAATAGAGCATTTTAGCAATTTATTGCTAGATTTACCAATGGGCCAGTGGCCTAGCGATATCAGGCCCTTACTCTCCAAAAGGAGGTCAGGGGTTCAAGCCGTGAGAGTTGAGCGTCAAGTTCTAATACTACAAGGAGATTTCAACCCTCAAGTATACCACAAAACGAGCACAAAGCTGCATTGTTACTAGTCATGGAAATCAAAGAGCTAAAGTTGAAGTAGTGTATGAGGAGTGGATCTGTTGATTGACAATGAAAGAGCTCAGTGAAGATTTGAGGATTTGGTTAATCTAGTTGTAAAATCCTTTTTTTTTTTTTTTTTTTCTTTTTTTTGATAAGTTAATCTAGTTGTAAAATCTTTCTCTTAGTGGATTTGATTTGATTAGACTAAGGTGTTGTTTCATAACCCAATTCAGAACTTATTTTTGAATGGATTAAATGCTTATCAAATTAAGTGTGTTTACTAATGTAATTTGAAAATCACTTTAAAAAGTAAGTTACACTTAAAATTGTAAAATATTAAATGACAGCGACTTCACTTATCACTATCATCAAATGCTCAACACTTGAAATTCAAAAATATACAAAAAAATTCTCAAATTTTAATCAACACTTTAAAAAACTTTCACTTCAATTTTCTAATACCTAATTCTCGGTTTCACCAAACAAAGTCTCATAGTTATTTTTTTTTCCCTTGGGCTTCCAAAGTAAAAAAATCCTTGTGTTCATGTGTGGTTTGATTTACTTTATTTCTATGCTCTGTGCTTTTCATATTTACCACATGAACTGAATTTTATATACATTTTCCATTAAAATTTGAAATTCAGTTATTAGTAGTTTAGTTTCAACTTCTTTTATAGTTCATTACTTTAAGGTTTAAGACCTATTCAACCCCCCTAGGTCTAGATCCATTCTAGCATACTCTCTACATTAAAGCCCTTAGTTACGGTCTTTAAAATTCTTCCTTGTATATATTTTTCACATGAATTTGAGAGGGTTAGGGGTGTTTAATGTTTATATAGTGTTTCAGTCCAAACGAATTAAGATATTAGAGTTGGAATAAGAAAATGAAATGAAATCCCACACTGATCAATCGAGACTTAGGTTATCAATCGAACCTAGTCCAATGGTCTTGACTCTCAAACGATCCTTCGAGTTATCAAACTCCCTTTCCTAGTCCAATTAAGATTTTAGTTTCTGAAATAGTTTAATTCATTTTAATACACAATTTTATAGATCAAAAGATGCAATTTCAAATCCAAGCATGTTTAATAATAGGGATGCTTAAATTAAGAACCCTTATAGGTGACTTAGTAATTCAATTGGTGTATTTACCTTTTATAACCTTTTGATCCTGAATACTGTCTTTGGCGTACATAGTGCTTAGGAAAATTATAATCCTAGCAAATCAAACCAATTTTTTAAAACAGACATCTACTTTTGTTAAGTAAATTTGCCAACACCAAGTTTTAATATGCTAACAGATATATTTTTAAATGGAAGGGTTTAGGTTAGCACTTTTTAAGCTGTTTAACAACTGGGTAGGATTCAGGTTGACTTTGTAAGCTGTTTAAAAATCAGAAATAAACCAACAGGAAAATCAGAAATCATGGAAATAAACCAAGGACAGGCTTTAGGATAATGTGTTGATTCTTTACATTTAATTACAACTAGGCCTTTCAGGTATTGAACAATGAGAAAGGATAGATATAGCCTTAACAATCAATGCTGTTACAATATCAATTATATGATGATAATGACCACAAAGTATGAGAATGAATTTGTAGCTGCTTTTCTTTCCCCTTTAAAATAACAAGGGGAAAAAAAATTAACAAAGAAAAAAGAAAAAAAGAAAAAGAAAAAGGAAAAGGCAAGTAAAAATATGAACAAAACTAAATAAAACCACATGGACACTCTGATACAGGAAGAATACCGAAAATCTAATTAATTGGGTGCTATCAAATTTAAAATAATCAGTTATTCCTCATTGGCAAATGCTGAAAGAAAAAAGTAATTACCATCTAAGATTTGTTAACTGCAAGAAGCCTTCTTTAATTAGGAACTTAAAACGACCAGGTGTAGCTATTAAAACATCTAATTGCTGCCGAAGATTCTCCAATTGAGTCTTCTGTCGAAAACCACCAGTTGCAACCATAGAGCGGAATGGGACACCAAACTTTGACAATAATCGACAATTTCTTAGAACCTGCAAAAGTTACACTGTTTTTAAAGGAATAACTATTGACTTTAAGAGATAATCAAATCAAGAGTAAAGTATAAGAAGAAGAAAAAAAACAGAAGAAAGAGGATGAGAGAAAAAGAGAGAGATGGGGAAAGAGATAAAGAATGAAAGAATTCTTTCATCCTTCCACCACATTCTATTTATACTAACAAGTTTCAGAAATTACACATAAGCCCCAACATTAAATAAGTAATAACAAATAAACCCCTAACAACACTCCCTTTCAAGCTGGTGCAAAGATATCTATCATGCCCAGCATGACTAACATATTTTGCAAGCAAGTCTTGCTCACACCCTTAGTCAAAATATCAGCAACAACCTGATCATGTGCGTTGACATATGGAGTACAAATCAGCCCAAGGCGAAGCTTTTCCTTGATGAAGTGTCAATCGACTTCAATGTGCTTTGTCCTGTCATGTTGAACTAGATTGTGGGCAATGCTAATAGCAGCCTTGTTGTCATAATACAACCTCATTGACTTGCGAACAGGATAAGCCAACTCACCCAACATCGTTCGTAGCCATATCAACTCACAAACTCCATAATCCATGGATCTGAACTCAGCCTATGCACAAGAGCTAACTACTACATATTGTTTCTTGTTGTGCCATGAAACAAGATTACCTCAAACAAATGTGCAATATCCTGAAGTAAATCGTCGATCTGTCACAGACCTTGCCTAATCAACATCAGTATAGGCTTCAACACGCAAGTGGCCATGACGGCCAAACAATATCCCCTTACCAGGTGAACCCTTAAGGTAACGAAGAACATAATAAGCTGCTTTAAGGTGAGGTGCACGTGAAGCATGCATAAACTGACAAATCACACTAATAGCGTAAACAATATCCGGGCACACAAAAGACAGGTTAATCAGTCTCTCAACCAATCGCTGAAATCTTCCCACATCATCTAATGGGTCTCTCCATCTACATCATTAAGCCTATGGTTCTGCTCAATGGGAATATCATTAGGTATAGCTCCAAGCCTACCTATTTCAGCCAACAAATCTAACACACATTTTCGTTGAGAAATGAACACCCCTTTCTTCAATATACACACCTCGATGCCAAGAAAGTATGTCAATGATCCGAGGCCTTTAACCTCGAACTCTGTCCCTAAGAATGACTTCATTCGATGAATCTCTTCTGGATCATTTCTAGTAATAACAATATCATCAACATATCTGTTGGGGCAGCAGAAGCACTATGTGTAAAATCGGAGATTACAATATTTCAGCCCCACTCTATTTCTGTACGAATTCTAAAGTCTCTCTCCCTTAATCTCTTAAGTCTCAACCCACAACATATGTACCTATTTATAGAGTTACAAACATAATTCCCTGTTGGACAAGGATTACAAATCCTTAGAGGCCAAGACTTGCCAAATAAGAAATTACCTAATAAAATACAACTTTAAAATAGAATTCTAATTAGAATAGGAATTTGAGACACAATTTCCAACAATCTCCACCTTGGCTCAAATTCCATCCAGTTACTCCTTTCGCCGCCTCCATATACACCCCTAAGGGCCTCAGCAACTGCATGTATCAATCAAGTCCAGACAATATCTGAACTTGAGTGTAGGAATGACCTTAGTCATCATATCTGCCGGATTCTCTGCTGTCCCAATCTTCCTCATTGCAATAGCACCCTGTGCAACCACATCTCTGATGAAATGAAACCTGCATCGATGTCCTTGGTCCTCTCATGGAACATCTGATTTTTAATCAAATGTATGGCACTCTAGCTGTCGCAAAACACAGTCAAATCATCCTGTTGCAAGCCCAAATCACCAACCAAGCCTCTCAACCATATAGCTTCCTTCACTGCCTCTGTAACTACCATGTGCTCAGCCTCAGTAGTAGACAATGCAACTACGGGCTGCAAAGTCGCCTTCCAACTGATCACACTCCCACAAAGAGTGAAAGCATACCTTGCCAAGGACCTCCTCCTATCAAGATCTCTAGCATAATCCGAATCAACATATCCAACAACACTCCCACACGTGTCGCTGTCGCTGTCTCTGTTATAGACTAACCCAACATCTGCAGTGCCTCGCAAGTATCGTAATATCCACTTCATAGCCTGCCAATGGAGCTTCCTAGGTCTATCCATGTATCTACTCACTACACTAACTGCATGTGAAATGTTTGGCCTAGTGCACAACATAGCATACATAAGGCTACCAACTGCACTAGCATAGGGAACACGAGACGTGCTTCACCTCCTCGGTCTATGGTGACAATCGTGCTGAAAGTCTAAAATGGGCAGCCAATGGAGTATTCACAGATTTTGATGCCTGCATACTGAAGCGTTCCAGCACCTTCTCAATGTATTTCTTCAGTGACAAATATAATCTACCCGCTTCTCTGTCCCTGTGAATTTCCATTCCCAATATCCTCTTTGCAACACCAAGATCCTTCATCTCAAATTCACCACTAAGCTGAGCCTTCAACATGTTGATTTCAGACATGTTCTTGCAAGTTATCAACATGTCATCAACATATAGCAACAAATACAAATACGAACAATCTGAGAGCTTCTTGTGATACACACAATTGTCAAACTTATATAGTAGCCATTGCCAACCATAAAGGTGTCAAATCGCTTGTACCACTGTCTAGAAGATTGCTTCAACCCATACAAGGACTTCTTCAGTAGGCAAACATGATCTTCCTTTCCCAGAATCTCAAACCCCTCAAGCTGATGCATCTAAATCTGCTCTTCCAACTCACCATGCAAGAAAGCAGTCTTGACATCAAGTTCCAAGTCATACAAAGCAACCATAGCAAGTAACACCCGGATTGAGCTATGTTTCACCACAGGAGAACACTTTAATGAAGTCCACCCCTTCCCCTTCGCCACCAAGCGTGCCTTGTACCTCGCATTTTCCACCCTTGGAATTCCTTCCTTCTTCTTGAAGACCCATTTACAACCCACAATCTTCTGGCCCTTAGACTTCTTAACTAGCTCCCAAGTCTGATTCTTATGAAGAGACTCAATTCTCTCACTCATAGCGACAGAATACTGTGCTGACTCTCCACCTATGATGGTCTCATGATAAGTACATGGCTCATCAATAGCCTTCGCCACACTAAGTGCATAAACAAACGAATCAACATGTGAAAACCCGTACTTTTCACATGGCCTAATATCCCCCCTAAGCCTGTCTCTAGCCACACTATACAGTTGCAATTGTGCATCTCCCTCGGCCCGAAATTGCACCTGTTTGCGTGTCGACCGAACAGGACTATCCTCTAACTGAACCTCTACATGCTCCACCTGCTCACTGACACCCCGAGCTTTCCTTAAGTCAAGTACCTCCTTTTGCGGAGTAAGCATCGCAGACTTAAGAAAGGTCACATCCCTGCTAACAAGTATCTTCTTTCCCGAAGCCTCTGGGCACCATAATTTGTATCCCTTGACCTCAGGCTGATAACCAAGAATTATGCATTTCTTAGCCCTCAATTCAAGCTTCCCCTCATTCACATGAACATACGCTGGACACCCAAATATTCTCAGATTACTGTAACTTGCAAGAGAACCAGACCATACCTCCTCTGGAGTCTTACAATCGATAGCAGTCGATGGAGACCGGTTCACCAAGTAACTAGCTGTAGAAACAGCTTTAGCCCAAAATGCTTTGTCTAACCCTGCATTGGACAACATACACTGTGCCCTCTCTAATAGCGTTATGTTCATCTGTTCTGCAACTCCATTCTGCTGCGGAGTCTTCCTCACTATGTGGGTGTCTCACAATCCCGTGAGTCTTGCAGAACTCATTAAATTCTCGATCACAAAATTCCAAGCCATTGTCGGTCCTCAAGCGCTTAACCTGTTTTCCTGTTTGCTTCTCAATCAAGGTCTTCCACTGCTTGAATGTAACAAAAGCCTCATTCTTGTGCTTCAGAATATAAACCGAAACTTTCCAAGAAAAGTCATCAATCAGCGTCATCATATATCTACCACCACCATGTGAAGTAACCTGAGAGGGCCCCCAAAGATCATAATGAATATAATCCACCGTACCTTTGGTCTTGTGAATTCCTGTACTGAACTTTACTCTGCACTGCTTCCCAAAGACACAATGCTCACAAAAATCCAGCTTCCTAGTTTTCTAACCACCAAGCAAACCCTGCTTACTCAGAACATCCATCCCCCTCTCACTCGTATGCCCAAGCCGCATATGCCACAATCTGGTAGTATTTGAAACCGGATCCAAGGACGATACAACAACTGAACCCGTGATTGTGCTTCCCTGCATAGCATATAAACCATGCTTCTCCAGTCCCTTCATCACCACAAGAGCACCCTTGAAACTCGAATGACTCCACCTCCAGCCTTATAAATGCACCCGATGGAATCCAGTGTACCCAGGGAAATCAAATTCTTTCTTAGTTCTGGTACATACCTGACATCAATCAGTGTTCTTACTATGCCATCATACATCTTGATTTGAACTGTACCGATACCTACAACCTTGCACGCTGCATCATTCCCCATCAGAACTTCCCCTCCATCAATAGATCGATAAGAGGTAAACCAGTCCCTGTTTGGACAAGCATGAAACAAGCAACCCGAATCAAGAATCCACTCATCGCAAGAGCTGCCAACTGAAATTGTGAGGACATTACCACCATCTGAATCATTACCCTCTGCAACAACCACACTTTCAACTTCAGAGGATTTTACCTATCGCTTTTTACGCTCCGGACAATCCTTTTTGAAGTGCACTACCTTGTGACAGATGAAGCATCCCAACAACTTCGTTTTGTTCTTAGACTTAGAACGACCTTTACTGCTAGACCCTCCCTTCTGATTCGTTCTCCCTCTAACAAATAACCCCCCTGCCGAACTTTCAGAATTGCCCTCAAACGCCCTTTTCTGCAACTCCTTAGAATTCAGAGCTGCCTTCACGTCTTCCATGGACAAGGCAGTTCTGCCATACATCATTGTATCAAC